AGGATTCCTCCCCATCCTGGGCACAGATTTCAGCGCCCCCACCCTCCCCCCACACACACCTCTCCCCCGCAACGCCACCTCACCGTCTTGCTGCAGGCGTGCCAGCGTCTCCAGTGCGGATGGCAGGGAGCTGGCAAAGGGGTGGGCCACCAGCAGCAGCGGCGGCACCGAGTTGCCGGTACCGCATACCGGTGGCTCGCGCTGCTGCTCCCCGGCAGCTGCCTGCTGGAACTTGCAAAACTCACGGTGGTACTACAGCCAGGGTGTTGGGGCGTGAGGGAGGGTCGCCCTGAAAGCGTGCGTTGCGCCCTGCCTGGTGCGACCTGTCCAGCCAGCGCCGAGGCAAGTTGAGGGCAGCCATCGAACAAGTGCTGCTCGCACCTGGCGCACCACCTCCACAGCTGCCTGCTCGGTGCCGCCCGTGCCCAGCACCACGGCCAGCGGCTGGCCCTCCCAGGCCGCCGAGCGGGCTGCCTCGTAGATGGTGGTGGCCGAGGCGGCACGCAGGCCTCCCAGCTGGCCCAGGCGCTGCGCCCAGGGCAGCAGGTGGCGCGGCACCTCGTGTGCCGCCTGCTGCCCCTCCGCGCTCAGCGGCGCTCGCAGCACGGCATATTGGAAATTCTCGGCCTCCTTTTGGGGATAGCTCAGGGGCTCTGCGGCCAGGGCCAGGGAGGAGGCCGTGCCCGAGAAGCGGCGGAGAGGTGAGCCGCCGCCTGCCGCCGCCGTCAGGGCCGACAGGATCCGGGGCAGCGTCCCCAGCAGCGCGCACGAGCCCGCTCGCAACGTAGCGCCCAGCTGCGGGCTCTGACCGCCAAGGTGCAGCATGAACGGCCAAGGAGCAACACAGGCAGGCTGCGGACTATCGGGATCAGCCCAGCGTTTGGGAAACGTCAAGAGGGGGTTGCAATCTGTACGGTTCGAGAGCTACACGCCAAGCGGAGACGGGTTTCCACTCGGCCAGCAGGGCGCCAGCGGCCAAAGCAGGGGCGCCGAAGAACATTACACATCAGCCCTGAAGATGCATGTTACACCGAAATTGCAGTGTCATCATTCACAGCCGGCTCAAGTTGGGCGGCGGCAGCGGCGGCATCCACGGCGCCGGATCCCCACCTCCCTCGCCCGGTTGCGCCGCCGGCACCGCCGCTCCTGCTGCTGCTGCTCCTTGCTTTGCTGTGCTCTGCTGGAAGCGCACCCCGCACTCGCGCAGCCCATCTATCAGCTGCTGCAGGTCGTCCTCGGTGTGGGCTGCCGACAGGCTGACCCGCAGGCGGCTGGTGCCCGGCGGTACGGTGGGCGGGCGTATCGCGGGCACGTGGAAGCCGGCACGCAGCAGCTGCATGCTGGCATCCACCGCCTCCCGCTCGGGGCCGATGACCAGAGGCACAATGGGGCTGCTGACAGGCACGCCGAGCTCGCTGCCAAGCCGCCGTGCCAGCTGCCACACGTGCTCCCGCCGCCACGGCTCCTGCGGACAGCAAACAGCAGGGCAGGCAAGCACACCAATCAGCGTGGCTGGCACCAGCACCTCATGGCACCGCAAGTGGACGCTGCTGCTGCTGCACCCCAGGCCCAGCCGCACCTCTGCTGCTACCCTGAGTGCCGCTAGCGCCGCCGCCACCACCGGCACAGGCAGAGCCGTGGAGAAGACCTGGGAGCGGCCTCGGTTCACAAGGAAGTCTTTCCACCCGCGGCTGCAGGCCACAAAGCCCCCCAGGCAGCCAAACGCCTTGCTGCAGCCAGGGGAAGACGCGCAGGGCGGTCGCGGGCAGGGCGGCGTCAGCATAAGACAGAGCCGTGCCTAGTGCTCCAGGTGCGCGATCCTTGGTGGCAGCGGGTACATGCTGTTATGCCTGGGTGCCGCAGGCACAATGCGGCCGCTTTCTTTCAAACCGAAGCGCAAACAAGAAGGGCCCGCAGCCAGTGCTAGCCGCCAAGCCAGCCCCACCTCAGCGTGCCCACATGCAGGTCGACATCGCTCGCGACCCCCAGCATCTCCGCGGCCCCACCGCCGCGGGCGCCGCACACCAGCGTGGCGTGCGCCTCATCCACCACCTGCACAAAAAAACAAAAACAAACAGTGGGCTGGTCGGCCAGTAATGGGCCAGCACACTCTACTAGGCCTTGTCCACATGCTTCTACTGGCCACAGCCTAATCGACCGCAGCGGGGGGCGGGACGCAGGCCCACCAGCAGGAAGGCGTGGCGGCGCTTCAGCCGTGCCAGGCCCCGCAGGTTGGCAAAGTCGCCGTCCATACTGAACAGGCTGTCTGTGATGACCAGCGAGCGCATGCCTGCAGGGCGGGGGCGGGGAGCAGGAGCGCGCAGGGCGCGGATAACAGATGAGAGTTTTTGAGGCAAAGCAGGTGGGCCCAGCGGGCCACGACTCTACCGAGGCGCAGAGGATGGCAGCGCCAAGCCTGGGCGCAGGCAGCGCAGCAGGCACGGAGGGCAGGCATCCACTGCTTCACTGCCGGCCCGGCCTTCAGCCTTGCTGCGCCGTGAGCCCGCCCACCTGGCGGGACCTGCTCCGTCAGCAGCTGCTCCAGGTGCGCCAGGTCGTTGTGGCGGTACACCAGCAGGCGGCTGCCGCCCCGCCGCCCCAGGCGCGCGCCGTCCACGATGCTGGCGTGGTTGAGCTCGTCCGACAGCACCACCACGCCGCCGTCCTGGCACAGCGCCGAGGCGACGGCCAGGTTGGCGGCAAAGCCGGTGGGGAACAGCAGGCAGTCTTCGGTGCCCTTGAGCGCCGCCAGGCCGCGCTCCAGCTCCGCGTGCCAGCTGGTGTAGCCGCCCACCAGCGCCGAGGAGCGGGGCCCTGCCGATCATGAGGGCGCAGAACATGCGGTGATACACGGAGAGCTAGGGAGGGCGAAGGAGTGGGACGGCACCCCTTCCAGCACCGGCAAGACAGCGTGCAGCAAACACTGGCAGGGCGATGCAGGTGGCGTGCAGCTCGACCAGCAGCTCACCGTTGCCGCACTGCAGCGCTGCGTCGGCCGCCGCCTGCCGCACCGCAGGGTGCGTGGAGAGGCCCAGGTAATCGTTGAGGCTGAAGAGCTTGACGACCCGCAAGTCAGGGCACTCCGCCGGCGACGGCAGGTTGGCGGAGGTGGGCGGCTGCCCCGTCACCCACGCCTCGATGTCGGCTTGCGACATGGCAGCCTGCAGGGCGGTGCTAGTGAGGGGACTCAGGGTGCTGGGGAGGACGGCAGGGAAGTCGGCAACAGGGCGGCTGGCGGCGGCGGCGCAGTGGATCTCCCGGGCGGCGGCGCGTCTCACCTCCACCGCAGACAGCCCCGGCACCGTGGGGCGCAGCGTCCTGAACAGGTTGCGCTGCTGGAGGCCAGCCACAGAGGCGGCCAACCAGTCGTCCCAACCCTGCGCCTCGCCCGCCTCGCTGAGCTGTGCTGATGACATCGGTGCAGTGTGACGACAACTCTCAGGACGGTAGCAGGAGCGCCGGCAACCGGTCGGTGCATATGTTTGTCGCCAATTGGCCGCCTCACGCCTCCCGTGATAACAAAAATGACCTGTCTGGTCAAGGGTAGTGCGCGATGGCGAAAAGCCACAGTCTTGCGGCCACCAGCGGGCCTGACAAGCGTGCTGGGCCTGGCCCCTTCTCTTCTGCTGGTTGATTGCCCCATCGCGCATTGTGCATTGTGTCATCGAATCCCATACGTTCATCCTGCAGCGTGTCGAGCCAACCTGGTAGCCCTGCAAACTTGGGCAATTGCTAGCCACGCACGGCCCTTCTCTACTACGCCGCTTTCGCTGTCGGGAGACCACTGACGATCGCCTGCAGCGGACAGCATGCTGTTGCGGGCCGTCCTCCTGCTGGGCAGGCGCAGCGGCGGCGGCGGCGGCGGCAGCGGCGGCAGGCGCCTGCTATCCACAGCCTCACAGGAGGAAGAGCTGGGCAGCATTCCGCTCAGCTTCCCGGCTGTCTGCATATGGGGCTCCAACACCGGCGTGGGCAAGACGCTGTTCAGCGCCGGGCTGGCCGCCGCTGGCCGGCGAGACGGGGTGAGCGTGCTTTGGTGCCGCATGCCCCGCACTCTGCCATCCATTCTGCTGTCTGCCCTCGTCTGCCGTGCTGCTCCCAGCCCCACCCACCCTGGTCCCACCCCATCCTGCAGCTTCCTGTGCTGTACCTGAAGCCAGCGCAGACCGGCTTCCCGGCGGACTCGGATGCCCGCCTGGTGGCCGCCGCCGCCGACCTGCCGCTGGTGGCGGGGCCGCACGCTGCCCAGCTGGACAGCCAGCTGCAGGCTGTGGCTGGGCCTGGCGGCGGCGCCCAGAGCATGGGCACCCTTGCCAAGACTCTCTACGCCTGGGGCCAGCCCATCAGCCCACACCTGGCTGTGGAGACGGAGGGGCGCCCCATCAGCGACCGCCAGGTGGCGGCTGACGTGGCGGCAGAGCTCCGCGCCTTTGCGGCCGCAGGCAGCAGCAGCGTCAGGGCCGGAGGCGCCGTGAAGCTGGCCATAGTGGAGACAGCGGGCGGCGTCGCCAGCCCGGGGCCCAGCGGCAGCCTGCAGGCAAGCCCTGCTGGTGTTTCATTGCCTTTGCAAGGTGGCCCGGCTTGTGCCGGCCACCGTCCTTATCGCACGCGCTCTGTGTTGTTGCCTCTGAGCCGCCTCCCCTTGCACCCCTCTCCCTGCCGCGTGCAGTGCGACCTGCTGCGCGCGCTGCGCCTGCCGGGCGTGCTGGTGGGCGACGGCCGGCTGGGCGGCATCTCTGCCACGCTGTCGGCATATGACAGCCTGGCGCTGCGGGGCCACCAGGTGCCGCTGGTTGTGCTTATGGACGATGGGCGGCTGGACAATGCCAGGGCGATACAGCGGCACCTTGGCAGCAAGGCCTCTGTGCTGGCCTTCCCCGTCTGCCAGCCTCCCCCAGCGGCCTCCAGCAGCCAGCAGGCAGCAGCGGCATCCGGCGGAGTCGATGCCGAGCTGGCGGCCTGGCTGTCCACCAGCCGGCCTCAGTTTGACGCGCTGCTGGCCGCGGCGGGCGACGCGCACCAGCGGCGCCTGGACGGCCTGCATTCGGCAGCGGGCGACGCGAGGAGCATGCTGTGGTGGCCCTTCACGCAGCACACCAGCGTGTCTGGCGTGACCGTCATCGACGGCCGGGTTGGCGAGAGCTTCTCTGTGTTCACCCCTGCGCCAGCGGCAGAGCCGGGGGCGGAAGCAGGGGAGGCAGCGGCTGCGCACAGCGGGGCTGCCGGCAGCGGCAGCCTGGAGCTCCTGTACGACTCCTGCGCCAGCTGGTGGACGCAAGGGGTGAGCTGGGGGCCTGCCGCTGCACAGCCTTGCACACCGCTTGGGCAGGCGTGCTAATAGACAGGCCTTGCAGAACACATATCAGCCAGTAGGCCTGGTATCACGAGTTACCAGCAGCTCCTTTATAACAAGCTGCTGGGAACACCTGAAACAGAGGTGCACACAGTAGGCTGTCCAGCTCTTCTTCAAGATGCTGCTTCAGCATCGGCAACTCGCTGCTGCATTCTGCCACCCTTCTGCCCGGCTGCTCGCCCGGACGCAGGTCAGCCAGCAGGCGCAGCCGGAGCTGGTGCGTGCCGTGAGCGCGGCGGCGGCGCGGTACGGGCACGTCATGTTCCCTGAGAATGCTCACGAGCCGGCGGTTGAGGTGAGCCCCGGCTGTTGACCCCCCTGCTGTCTTGCTGGCATTGAAGCCTCGCCAGCAGGCCCCAGGCATGGCGCCGGCCCTGCACCGTGCTTCTGCGGTGGCAGCATTGCCCTCGCCGCCCTGCTCCTCGCCTCCTGGCTCGCCGCCGCCACCTGTTGCCCTCGCTGCCACCCCCATCCCGCCCCTTCCTCTCTGCAGCTGGCCAGGCAGATGCTGGGCAGCGTGGGCGGCGGCTGGGCCACCCGCGTCTTCTACTCCGACAATGGCTCCACAGCCATCGAGGTGGCGCTCAAGATGGCCTTCAGAAAGTACATGGTCGACCGCGGGCTGCTGGTGGCTTCTGGCTCGGAGGGCGGCGAGGCGGATGGCGGCACGGCGGTGGTGGCAGCTGCGGAGGAGGAGGAGGCGGGGCCTCCTGATGTGGAGCTGCAGGTGCGGCGGCGCATTGCCTGGTGGTGGGGCGCTGGCTGGTGTGGGCTTTGCAGGAGCGCGAGTAAGAGTTTCAACAGGCAAGCCGACCGCCTCCTTCACCGTGCCGCAATGCCGCCCTCCCTCCCTCAGGTGGTGGGCCTGCGGGAGGCATACCACGGCGACACGCTGGGCGCCATGGAGGCTGTGGCCCCCTCTCCCTTCAACGGCCGCCTGCAGACGCCCTGGTACTCTGGGCGAGGCCTGTTTCTGGACCCGCCGACAGCAGCCCTGGTGCGGGGCGTGTGGCGCGTGCAGCTGCCGGCAGGCATGCGCGAGGCGGCGGGCGCGGCGGAGCGGCAGCAGTGGCAGACGGAGTTTGGCAGCCAGGCAGGCGTGTTTGACCTGGAGCGGCGCATGGGCGATCCGGGGCGGTACGCCCCGCTGTACGCCGCGTACCGCCGCCACATCGAGCAGCAGCTGCACGCCGACCGCGATGCCGGCCCGGGCGCTGGGAGCAGGCAGACGGCGGCAGCTCAGCAGCAGGAGCAGGAGCAGGAGGAGCGGGGCGGGAGCAGCTGGCAGGCGGGGCGGGCGCGGCAGCTGGGGGCGTGCATCCTGGAGCCTGTGCTGCAGGGGGCAGGCGGCATGCGCCTGATCGACCCTCTGTTCCAGCGAGCCCTGGTGGACGTCTGCAGGCGAGCTGGCGCCTCCCGCCTGCCCCGCAGTCGCCTGCCAGCTGCTGGCAGGACTGCCTAGCCCTGGCTGCGGCGCTGGGCCCATGCCCGTCTGTTCCGTAGCCCGGCAGGCGGTGGCTCCTTGCCTGGAGGATGCTCCCTTCTCCGCCCCTGCCCCGACTTTTTGTGCTGCCTGTTTGTTTGCTGCCCCGCAGGCAGCGCCGCATCCCTGTCATCTATGACGAGGTGTTCACCGGCTTCTGGCGTCTGGGCTCCCTCAGCGGCGCCGCGCTGCTGGGCGCCCCGCCCGACATCGCCTGCTACGCCAAGCTGCTGACGGGCGGGCTGGTGCCGCTGGCAGCCACGCTGGCCACCCGCGAAGTATTTGCTGCGTTTGAGGGTGCGCCGCCTCTGGCTGGCGCTAGCTGCTGCCGCTGCTGCTGCTTGGGGTTGTGCCAGGTGCCTCGATTCGATGCTGGATTGCTTCGCAAGCTGAGTCTGCTGCATGCTGGGCCACCCCGCCGCTCCCCGCCGCTCCCCGCAGGCGACCGCAAGGTGCAGGCATTGCTGCACGGCCACTCCTACACCGCGCACCCCGTTGGCTGTGCGGCGGGCGTGGCGTCACTGCAGCTGTATCGGGACCCCTCCCTGAACCCCAACTGGTGCACGCCAGGCGCCCCTGGGCGCTGCCAGAACCAGGAAGAGGGCGGCGGCGGCGGCTGCCAGGGCCCCTGTGGCCGCATGCTGCCGCTGTGGGACGAAGCGGCGGTGGCGGCGCTGAGCTCGCACCCGGGGGTGGCGGCCGTCGTGCCGCTGGGCACGGTGCTGGCAGTGCAGCTGCAGGCCGAGGACGGCGGCGGGTATGCCTCCGGCGCGGCGGCGGCGGTGGTGGCGCGGCTGCGGCGGCGGGGTGTGTACGGGCGGCCGCTGGGGGATGTGGTGTACCTGATGGTGACGCCCATGACGGAGCGGCGGCAGTGCGACGCCCTGCTGGCAAAGCTGGCGGCGGCGCTGGGCTGAGGCTGGGTTGGGGCGCTGGCGCTGGCGCTGGGCGTCGGCACGTTGCGCTTGGTGTAAGCTGTGTGACACCAGCAGGCTCAGCAGATGCCCCGGGCTTGGAAGTGAGGGATAGTAGCTTCGAATGTAAAAGAGCAGCGCACCGCGCCGGCAGCAGTACCAGCAGGTTGGCGCAGGCGGCGGGCTGGCACACTTTTTGTTCAGCCAAATACCGTTGCTAGGGAGCGATCAATTCCGCCTCCACACGGATTCATTCTGCTCCAGGACGCTTTTGGGAGCGCAGCGTGACGCTTGGCAAATCAGCCTTTCTTCTACTGCCCCAAACTCGGTGGTGTTTTGTATGCAGCTGGCTGCTGAATACAACCGCTCTGGAGCCGGCTCGTCCCGGGAACTGGAGGGCCTTTGTCCCTCAGGAGCTGGATTGCAGGAGCTGTCACCTGGTGCCAGCATGAAGGAGCAGTTTCACACCCTGCGCCTGTCGGGGCCATCGGGATCCGACAGTGACGAAGATGACATGCAGGTGCTGCGCCGCCAGCGCTGTGGTAGATTAGCGATTGGTAGCATCACTCAAATCCTTCCTTGTTTGTTGGCGCTGCTGAGCCCGCCTCCTGCTTTTCCTGGGCTGTACAGAGCCCCCGCTGGTCTCTGGCGCCCTTTGGATGGAAGCGGCGGCAGCAGCGGCGGCCGGGCCTGGGCGCCGCAACCGCCGCCGCCGCCGCCAAGGCGAGGCTGCCGCACTGCGTGTGCAGCGCGCTGCTGGCGGCAGCGGTGCTGGCGGTGCTGGCCTGGGCTGGCCTGCGCCTGGCCCACGGCAGGCAGTTGCACCTGGAGATGTGGCAGGAGGAGGCCAAGGGGGCGGGCCTGCACGGCAGCGGCAGCGGCGGCAGCTCCCGGGGCGCCCAGTGCCAGCTGCCGCTCGACGGATCGCCCTGGGAGCGCCATTGCCAGCGCCTGGACAGGGTGTGCGTTGACCAGGGCACGCTCATCCTGTATGGCGATCGCTACCAGCAGCTGGACGGCCGCAAGGCGGGGCGCCTGCCTGAGCTGCTAATAGACACCAGCAAGGTGCGGTGGGTGGGTGGGTGGTAGGACGGCGGTTGTGGGCAGAGGCGGTTGGGTAGGCAGGTGGCTGTGGGGTGAGAGGCAGCGGTGGTCAGGCGGCATTTGAGCTGGCACCGAGATCCCCGGCTGCAGATTTTCGAGTACCCTTGGCGTAAGACCAGCAGCGAGGCGGCGGCAGAGGAGGGCGGCGCGCGGCGGCGGCTGCAGTACGATGTGCTGGTGCGATGGGCAGCTGGATTCCGCTGCTGCCTTAGCCCGGCTCGGTGACGGCACCGCGTCCAGGTTGCATGGCCGGCCCAAGACCGCTCCCTGGTCGCGCACAGCACCACCCAGGTCTCCACCTGCCCCTGACATGCTTGGATCCTGCCTCGCGCTGCCGCCGCCCGCTGCAGCCGCCGGGCAAGAACCGGCGCCTGCCGCCGCTGCCCATGCGCCCCGCCACCTCAGAGGAGCCCACGCCCTACCTCCAGACCCCCTGCTTCTCAACCTGCACCGTGCCCGTGCTGCTCTACTCCTCCTGGCCAGGCAACCTTTTTCACCATCTTCAAAGGGGGGGGGCACTGGGGCAGACCAGTGGTGGTGCTCCTTGGGCGCATGTGCTGATAATGATCCCCCTTCCATTGTTCTGCCGGCGGGACCCCCCCCCTTAACATCTCCGGCTGCCCGTGCTGCTCCTGCCGCCGCCCCTGCCTCCCCCTGCAGACATGGCCGCGCAGGTGTATTCGCTGCTGCGCCGCACGCCCTGGCGCCACCACTCCAAGCTTGTGATGGTGACGCCCGACGGCCTGCCGCTGACGATGCCAGAGGCGGCGCTGCTGCCGCCGCTCAGCCGCCTGTCGGTGCAGAGCATGGCAGACTTCAGCCGGCGGCTGCCACCAGGCCTGCGGCTGGGGCAGCAGGTGGGGAGGCTGGGATGCTGCACCTGCTGCTGCTCAGCAGGGCTCGGCTGGGACGACATGGCAGGGCATGGGACAGCAGCCGGGGCAGTGCAATGGCGCTGGGACGGGCCATGCCGCTGACAGCCTGCTGCCTTGGGCCCACCGACCCTCGTGGCCACCCTGCTGCAGCTGGACGCCACGCAGCCACCTGCCAGCTACGAGGGCGGCGAGCAGCGCTGCTTCCAGACCGCCTTCTTCTGCGGCCGCAACTTCCCGGCGGCTGCCGGCCTGCCGGCTGCAGAGGAGGCGGGGTTGGGGGAGGAGGAGGTGCAGCAGCGGCTGGCAGCGGGGATCCCTGTCGAGCCTTACAGCTATGGCCAGGCACTAGCGGCATACATGCAGCAGAAACAGCAGCGGCGGAGGCATGCGCCGCCGGATGTCATCAGCCTGCAACAAGCGGCGGCAGCGGCAGGCGGGGCCACCGAACGGGCCGCCACCAGCGGCCGGCTCAGGGTCGCGCTGATGAGGCGTGGCGGCGAGGGGCGGCAGATCCTGAATGCCGGCGAGCTGCTGGAGCGGTGCAATGCGTGGCGGTACCGTCCACCCGGCAGTACCAAGCCAGTGACCGCCGAATGCCATGAGGTGAGCTGGCGCGTGTGGTGGCTCGGCACATGGTAGCGTTTGCCTGGCGCCAGGGCAGCACAGCACTGAAGCCCTTGGCGCGTTGTTGAGCTTGGCTGCTGCTGCTGGGGCTGCTGCCCGTTCTGCTGTGTCGCAGATTTCGGTGCCGGATCTGGAGTCTGGGGTGGCGGCAGCGCGGGAGGCAGACGTGTTCATCGGCATCCACGGTGCGTCGGCGGGCACCTCTCTGCTTGCCCTGCTGCTTTCCTGCAGCATGTAGGATTGGGAAAAGCACCGCTATGAGCGCAGGCCCGCCCCGCCACCTGTACGCAAACATCCCTCTTGCCACGACACAGGCGCCAACCTGGCCAACGGATGGATGATGCGGCCCGGTGCCAGCGTGATTGAGATCACCCCTTACCAGTTCGAGTACGGCCGCGGCAGCTTTGTGTTCAGCGTCATGAACTCAAAAGTGGGTCTGCGAGAGCTCAGGAACTCCCGCACATGGTGTGCCTGCTTGCCTACACCAGGTGCCAGCAGGTGTGCTGCCATGGCCCACACCACCTGAGGTGTGCCTGCTCTGGTGGCTGCTGCTTCTCGTCCCTGCAGGATGCCACCTCCCAAGTGCTGTGGTGGGTGGCTGTGCTGTGCGACCCCGCCGCCTCCACCCCCGGCCCCAGCGAGCAGGCCCGCCAGCCGCCCGAGGACTGGTGGCCGCGCGACCGAAACGTGCGGCTGCCGTGGGCGGCGGTCGAGGAGGTGCTGCAGGAGGTGGTGGCAGTGGGGGGCAGCCAGCAGCGGTACATGGAGCAGTACTTTGACACCTGGCGGCATCGCTTCAACTTTGATGCGGCGGGCGTCATCAGCCGCGGCGGAAGCTGCCCCAACGGCACACGCCCGCAGCCCGGCCGCTGATTGCTGCGGGCGGCGAGCGCTAGTCTGGCACACCCATCTATCCTCCAGTCAGACTATGTGTACATTTCGTTCATGAGATCAGCTACTGACATTTTCCATTCTATTTTGTTCAACAGTCAAACCATCGCTGACGTGGCTCGCACTTCCAGCCAGGTGTCACTGTGACCTCGTCGCGCTAGTCGGCTTGCAGGCCCTGGCGGCGCTCTAGTTGGCCCCTGGGGCCACTCAGGCGGTGGCCAAGAGGATGACATGACCCATGCACGAGCTGCACACCATAAGCTAACCTGTTTGCGAGCTCGTCTTCTTTGCTGCCCAAGCCGCCGCCTTTCTCCGCCATTCCCTTGCCCACCGCGATCAGCAGCAACTGCATACTGCAGACCACACAGGGGAGCCAGTCGAGTGTGCTGCAAGGCTTGGACGGCTGCAGCGATGGAGCGTGGCGTCCAGGCGGGCTTTAGGCTCAACCTGCCAGAGGACAAGCCGCTGGCCGACACCACCCCGCTGGTGGTGAGCGCCGATGGCTGGCCCGCTGACCGCTCGACGGCTGGCCAGGTTGCCGCCCGCTCGGCACCGCCCTGGCGCCCCTTTTTTTGCACACCTCTATCGCACATTCACGCTCACCGCAGGTCGTGCTGGGATGGTACGGCGCCCAGGACAGGCACGTGGCCAAGTACAGCGCCCTGCTCAACAAGGAGGGCTATCCGACCGTGCGCACCACCCTGCCCGGCCCTTCCCCCCATCGACCTCCCTAGAAGACGATACGCCACCCGCCTGCTGAGCTTCCTGGACAGCCTGGGGCCCGCCCTGGGCCAGCGCAAGATCGTCTTCTTCACCTTCTCCAACGGTGAGAAGGATGGGTGGGCTCCAGATGCAAGCTGTGCGGCGGTCAGCGGGCTGCCTGCGCCACGCTGGGCCCTACCTGTGCCCATGCCGTGCCCCTTGTGGCTCTGTGCCCATGCATGCCCCTTGTGGCCCTGTGCCCATGCCCGCCCGCCTGCGCTGCATCGCTCCCTGCAGGCGGCGGCTTCCTGCTGGAGCAGGTGGACCGGCTGGTGCACGACACCAAGCAGTACCGCCACCTGGCCCCCCGCATCGCCGGCACCATGTTCGACTCGGCGCCCTGCTACATGCACCACAGGGCAGGCTCCATCGCCATTGGCGCGGGCCGCAGCCTGCCCATCCGCATCCTGGCTTCGCTGGTGTTCTACCTCGGCGTCGCCATCATGCTCATGATCTCCCCCTTCCGCACCTCGACCTACTGGTGAGCTGGGCTGGGCTGCGCGCTGCTGGAGCCCAGCCATGAGGCTGCACCCGTGCTCATGAGGCAGCACACCCTTTCCACCACACCTCGCCCGCCCCACCACCTCCTCCCTTCCGCCCATCACCCTCCCACACCACGCACGCATTGCCCCGCGTGCATCGCAGGCGCAACATGGAGCAGCTGCGCATGGGGCGCAAATCCTTGTACCTGTACAGCCAGGACGACCCGCTGTGTGATCCCGTAAAGCTGGATGAGCTGGTGGCGGCGCGGCGGCGCCAGCTGGGCGACGCCCAGGTGGCGGCGGTCAAGTGGCAGCGCAGCCAGCACGTGGCCCACATCCGCCACCACATGCGCGAGTACACCGGCGCGCTGTTTGGCTTCCTGCAAACCGTGTGAGGCAGGCACGGAACGCGGCAGGGCTGCGCCCTCATTCTTTCAAACGTAGCATATTGTGACATACTCGGGCCGTGTTTCTGTACGGCTGTGGCGCCGGCAGGCCCTGGCAGCTGCAGCCGGGCAGCCCAGACAGCCGGCCAGCGCGCCCTCGCCCCTTGCTGGCTGTGGCTGGCTGTGCCGCGGCCGCCGCTGCGGCCTGTGGCTGGCCCTCGGCTCCCTGCCCTCCAGGCACTCGGGAGGAGCCTGTGGCTAGCTGAGTCGGATGCCCTTGGCAGCAGCGTCATCCACGATGGCGTTGACCGCCTGGCACACGGCGGCGATGTTACGGTCCCACTGCTGCAGCGGCTCGGGGGCGGCCTTGAAGGTGATGAGGCCGTCCACCTGGTCGATGATGGCCTACGGCGGTACATGCGGTACAGGTTGTACATGCGGTACATGCGGTACAAACAAGCCATGCAGGCAGCAGGGTTGGCAAGCGTCGTGGTGCGGCAGGACAGAAAGTCCCCTGCCTGCCAACCCACACCCGCGCATCCCGCTCGAGCACCACTGACCACCAGCCTTCCGCAGCCCCCACCCTCCGCAGCGGCCCGCACACCTGCAGCCGGCTCTCCATGACCATGCGGGACGCCACCGCCTCTGCCTTGTCGGGGGCCACCCCCAGCAACGCGCCCAGCTCGGCCACGTAGATGTTGTTGTACAGCTTCGAGGCAGCTTCCAGGTTGTGCTCCGTCACCGACCGCTCCAGCACGGTGGAGCCGTCGGGCAGCTTGGCCAGCTGGTGGGTGGCCAGCCCCTCGGCAAAGGCCTCCACCTGCGCAGAGCAGCCAGGCAGCAACATGGGCCAGCGGTTGGCGGGTGCGACACCACGCAGGGAGCCGAACCCGCCGTCCCTCCTTGCAGCAACGCAGCAAGCCCCGGCGCCACGCTCGCCGCCTCCTGCCGTCTCCTCCCACAGGCGCGCCGCGCCCCGCCATCAGGAAGGAATAGTTTCTTTTTTGTTTTTCTTTCTTTCCAACCCACCTCTGCGGTGCCCAGTATCCGCTCCAGGTAGACCTTCTCCAAAAAGGGGTACAGCGCCAGCTTGGCGCACCGCTCGTCCTTGTACAGCGTGGCCAGCATGCGGGACCGCTGCGGCCCCGCCGCCGCCAGGATCGCGCACTTGATGGACGACAGCAGCGCCTGCTCAAGGTCCTCCCCAGACACCTGCCGCCGCGGTACAGGCGGGCGGGACAACCGCAGGCGGGGTGGGGCAGTGTGCTCACGACAGGGAGAGTGTACTCGCAGGTCAGCTGACGCAGCCCAGGTGCCTCTCCGAGCCTTCCCTTGAGCAACATCGCTCGGCCAGCATTCCGACGCGAGAAGATACACGGCACCACCCACCCACCACCCCTCCCCCACCCACCCCCAGGCCCCACCTCGTGCTCCCCAATCCTGCGCTTGCCCACTTGGCTCAGCTCGTAGTAGCGGGTGGCTGCCTCCAGGAAGCGGCGCTTGGAGTCGAGGATGCGGGCGTAGCAGGTCTTGTACTGCAGCTCCAGCGCCTCGTTCTGCGGTACAGGCGGCACGGCATGCGTGGAACCGTCAGGCGCACACGCAGGGTCTGATGCAGGAGCAGTGTACAAGCGTGCATCCTCAATATCAAACTTGTGTTTAAAGGAGAGCCCGGCGGGCGCCGCCGCTGCGTGCCTCCACCATATGTCTAGCAGCAGGCAGCGGCGCCCTCGCTGCGCCAGCGGCAATCGCCGGCAGGCTCCCGCCGGCCGCCCTGCGCCCCCTCAATGTCCTTCTGGCTGGCAATGGTCGCCCACCCCCCCCGCACCTTGCAGGCGGCCAGCAGGGAGGATGCCTTCTTGATGTATGTTTCTGCCGACACCGCGTCGTTGTCCTCCAGGTACAGCATGGCGATCTTGATGTTCTTGCCCAGCTTGTACTCTGCGGGCAGGCAGGCAGGCGGGCAGGGCAGGGTAGGCAGGCAGGGAGATGGGCAGGCAGGCAGGCAGGCAGGCAGGCGGGCAGGAGGGAGTCGAGGCGGAGCGGAAGGGAGGACAGTTGGCACCAGGCTGGCTGCTCGAGCGGTGCACGAGCGGTGCAGGCAGGGTGCAGGCAAGCCGCGGCAGGTGGCCTCCAGCACCTCCCCTCGCCGGTCCCTGCCCCCGCCTTTGGGCTCGCAGCCCTTGCTGCTGCCGCCGCCCGTGCAGCCCACCTGCATCCAGCAGGCGCATGCCCGAGTCCAGGTCGATGCCCGCCAGCGCCTGCGCCGCCTTGCTCCACTCCTCCTGCGCCTCGTACACCGCCGCCAGCTGTTCCCGGATGGCGCTGACCTGCTCCTCGTAGCTCACCGCCCGCGGGTGCACCTTGTCCAGCGCGCTGCATGGACAGGGAGCGGGAGCCAGCCAGAGCGTTTGGTGGGGCGGGCAAGGCGTGCCACGGCGGGCGGGCGCCGGATGGCATGCAGGGAGCCAGGTGCAGCGGCGGCCCGCTCACTATGTGGACACGTCTCGCTGCACGTCGGGCGCCAGCTGCGGCAGGCTCTGTGCAAAGGCCAGCAGCAGCTGGCGGCTGAGCACGAGCGGCACGGCGTCCGACAGCACTGCAGGCGGGCAGCAACGGGCGGCGGGAAGGTTCGTCAGGGTTGCGGCGCCAGCCCGCCGGCGCCTTGAGCTGCTGCCGCAGCACCCTGCCCAGGCGCGCACCGTGGTCTACGAAGCGTCGACATGCTGCCGCATCGCCCGAGGCCACGGCCTGCTCTAGGACTGCTCGGTACTGATCCGCCTTTGCCTTCTGATCCCCTGCTGCCGCTATCTCGTCCAGGTCCATCCTGGCGCTCTCCCAGGCGCCACTGATCAGACACCCCCCCTGCTGCAGCGGCTCCCTGCTGTGCTCCACTCCTGTCGGCAGCAATGCAACACGTGATTGATTGATCAGTTGGCCGTTTGGGCTATTTCTTCAGGGACGCCACCTCACGGGTGCCAGCAGTGCACTGCTCGCCAAAGCAAGATGTGCAGCCTCCTCTGCATGCAGATCGATACCTGCATGGCCTGATCCGATTGTGGGCCGAGCCAGAAGAGCCGTGAGGGCTGTTGGTGCAACGCACACTCTGTCGTGGCCTTGTGACAACGCTGCACCTAGCCGCGCATGTGAGAGCAAACCAGCAGCAGCCCGCCGCCAGCATCACCACCACATTGTACAGCTGGTTTTGCAGCCGCCGCCGCCACTGCGCCGCCGCTGCCGCCGCGCCTGTGCTGCTCCTCGCTTGACTGAGCCTCCCTGTGGGTAAAGCTGCAGGCCAGACATTCTCCCTGGCTGACCGCGTCAACCGTCAAGAGAGCCGCTGCCATGGGCCTCGCCACGCCCTTGTCGTACCTCTGCTCGGGCGTGGTGCTGAACATCATCTCCCAAGTGGGTGCCGGCAGCTCTGGCTGCCTGTCTGGACGTGCGTTCCGAAGCTCAACAGCTTTTCTATGTGCGTGCAGCTCATCACAGACACCAGCTTCTCCGCCCCCGAGGCCCACATCATCCCGGCCGTCAAGTTCACGGCCACGCTGGTGGGCGCGGCGCTGCGGCGGCCGCGCGGCGTGCGGCCGGCGGCCACCCCCTCCCAGCGCCGCCTGATGGCGGCCATCGGCCTGCTGGACGCCTCCGCCTACACGCTGTACTGCCTGGGCTTCTTCGCCTGCGGCGCCACCCTGGCCAACCTGCTGCTGTCGGGGGTGGGCCAGGTTCTCACGGCGGCGCTGACGCGCTGGGTGCTGCGCCGCCGCCTGACGGGCGGCCAGCTGGCAGGCATCGCCTTTGTGGGCCTGGGCCTCGCCGTGCGCGCCGCCCCGGCCTTCCTGCTCGGCGCCGCCGCCCCCAACGACGGCGGCGCGGCCGCGGGCGCCGCGCTGTCGCGCGAGCAGCTGGTGGGTGCAGCGCTGGTGGGGCTGGCCGCCCTGCTGTACAGCATCCTGGGCGTGGCCTATGAGAAGCTGCTTAAGGGCGAGCCCGCGCCGCCGCCCAATGCCGAGATCATGTGGCACGTCTCCATACTAGGTGAGGCGGGCGGGCAGGGCCTGTATCCACCCACTATGTGTGATGGGCGCTGTGGAGGGGGTGGTGTGGTGTGCGCTGGTGGCGTGGAAGCAGCTGCCTGCCTGCCTGCCTGCATTGCACAATGTCGCCTCACCTGCCGGGACTCCTGTCCTGCCTCGCCTGCCTGGCTGCCCGCTCGCCTCCTAGGCTGCCTCGCTCACCCCCTTTACCCCCTCTTGCCCCACCCGCAGGCTTCCTGGCCAGCGCCGCCTACCAGGCCCTGTACACCCTCCCCAACTGGGACCGGCTGGTGGCGCAGCGCATGGCCGCCAGCGGCACCTCCCCGCGCTACCTCGTCGCCCTGCTGGCGCTCTTCGGCGCCCTCTTCAACCTGCACATGCTGGTGCAGGCGGCGGTGTTCAAGACGGAGGGCGCCATCGGCGTGGGCCTGGTGAACGCGGTGCGCGGCGCGGTGATCACCGTCACGGTGGCGGCGCTGTTCTGCAGCCCGGCGCGGCCCCACCTGTGCCTCACGCCGCAGACCATCCTGAGCGCCGCCATCACCACGGTGGGGGGCGCTGTGTATGTCCTGGCGGGCAGCGGGCAGCAGCCGCCGCAGCCGGCCAAGGCGGCAGCGCATGGGGCCGCAGCGGAGGACAAGAAGGATAAATGAGCCGTGCACCCAGGCTGCTTCTCTTGGCAGTGCCAGTCCCATGGGGCTGTGTAACGCAAAGCTACCAGCGTCTGGCAAGGGTACTGGCACAGCTTTGGTCGGGCTTGAAGTTACAACAAGACACTGGATACAACAGCCCTGTTGCAGGGCGAGGGGTACAAGGACGGAGAAAGAATTGGGGCGGGGGTGAGGCGGAAGTTGCATCGACGTCGATGCTGAGCAAACTGGGGCAAACTGGACGAGGGAGAGTTTGTGGGTCTGCTTGTCTACCTACACAAAAAAACCAGAACATCTGATCCGAGCCAACAGGAAAAACCACGGGATGGATTCGTTGCCAGAGGGGCAGAAATCGGGCGCGGCGCATGGGCGCCGGCGCAGTCGTCCGTTCATGTTTGTTAGTACAAGGGGAGAGGGTGCTGGTCAAGCAGCGGGTTCGGCATACAACAGCGCCGGGGTTCTAACGGGGCTAAGACACTACACCCCAGTCACACATCACGTTAGTACATGGCGCAGCACGAATGCTGCGGCGTGCGGCAGCAGAGCTGCCGACGCAGAGGGCGACACGACTCTTGTGCCCGGCCGCGGCGGCGGCCAGCGCAGGACGGGCGAGATGGAGGCCAGCCCAGCCGCAGCCAGTCGGGGTTGTGGCCTCAGTTGGGGCTGCCTGGGCACGCGCCCCTCAGTTGCGGTTGTGCTCCTGGATGCGATCCAGTATCTCCTGGACCAGGTAGTTGGCGCGCAGCTCGCGGGGCGGGAACACGGGCCCCGCCAGCTCGTGGAAGATGTTGAGGTTGTCCTTGAGCTTGTGCACCGCGGTGCAGCCCTGTGAGGGCGCATGGGGGGGAGCATAAGGAGTGTGGCAGGGAGCATGGGTACAGGGCGCTGCTGGGGAGGAGTAGCAGTACGGAATCGCGACGGCAGCCGAGAGAGGCAGGCAGCTGCAGGTGCAGGGTCGCATGGGGCGTGCGTGCAGCCTGGCATGGCCGCACCTGGCAGCGCGCAAACACGGAGCCAGCCTTCCAGGCGTGCGGGTTCACCGCCGCGTCGTTCACCTCGCCACACAGGTTGCACGTGAAGCGCAGCTGCGGGGGGCACAGCATAGAGTGGAATGGGCGAAACTCAGTGTGGGTCGACAGCACCTTGGGTCAAAAGCAACTTGACAGGGATGGGCTCAACGGCACGCCCGGCGACAGAGGTGGTAGCACAACGGACACGCTGGCACACGCTGCAGCAGCAGCGCTGCCAGCATGCGCTCACCTGCTGGGTGCGGCGCGGGTGCTTGCTGCTGCGGCGCAGCTTGGCGCGTGCCGGCTCGGCCTCGCCGTCCTCGGCCTCGGCAGAGGGCTGCCACACCAGGCCCACACAGGTGGTGTTGGGCTGCACAGCGGGTGCCGGCGGCGCCGAGGGCGGCAGCACCTCGAACTCTGTGTCGATCACCAGGCTGCCGCTGCCCAGGCTGCTGCCGGCCAGCGCCAGCCCCGTGCCGCCGACGGGCGCGGCCCAGACCACAGGCGGCGCGGCCGCGGGCTGGCTGTGCTGCACGGGCTTGGGCTGCTGCACCGCGCGCACCAGCCCGGGCCCCCCAATCGTGGGGCGCTGCAGCACAAAGTTGAAGTTGGTGCCGTACAGCGGTGTGGTGGCGCTGTTGTTGATGTTTTGCCACCAGAGCGCGCCGCCCGGCAGCTCCAGCAGGCCGTTGTCGCGGTTGGCGGGTGCGCTGCCCACCGCCCCCTGCGTCGCCCCCCAGGCCGCGGGATCGGCAGGGCCGCTGGAGCCGGCCGTGCTGGCGCGGGGTGCGAGCCGGCAGCGCCCAGTGCCGGCGTTGCGACGACGGCAGCGGGTGCCGCTGACGCTGCGCTGCGGAGCGCGGGCTGCCGCAGCCTGCATTGTTGCGTGAACGCTGCTGGCAGGGCCCGGGGAGCGCAAGATGCGAAACAAACCTTCTTCGAGTAACCTTCTAGCGCGCGCTTCATGCGCACTCTGGAAGGCCCTCTCTGCCTCTTTTCCGCTCCTGGATTCGATCTGTGGCCGGAGGCACCCGGCGGAGCAATGGCGGTGCTGCAGGAGCTCCTGCCGGCGGAAGCCAAAGGCAAGACTGGCTGTGGCCAGCCCCTTGCTTTCTGGTGATTCTGGCAATCTTTTGACTGCCTCTTGGGGAGCCGATGCGCGCGTTGCATGCTGGCATGCCCGCCGGCTGCAGCGCCGCTGCACGCCGCTGCCGCTCAACCAAGTTCTGTTCCTTTTCTGCAGGCTTGGTCTTCGACCTGGATGGTGGGTTGGCCCTTCATGACCGTGCATCTGTGTTTCAAGCATTCCCGTGCTGAAGTGGCTTGGATCCAGTGGCCACCAATCCCGCTGCGGGATGCGTGCTGCCCTGCAGGCACCGTGCTCGACACAATGGCGCACCACTGGCAGGCCTGGAAGCAGCTGTCAGAGGAGTTTGGCTTCTCGCTGTCGGTGGATCAGCTGCTGTCGCTGGCGGGCAAGCCCTCGCGCGCCATCATGGAGCTGCTGTGTGAGGAGCAGGCAAGTGGCGCGGCTGCCAGGCAGAGTGTGAAACAACGGCACAGGCATGCATCAAGGGGAGGCGGCGGGGCACCTCCATTCTTGGCCTGACAAAGCACCCCGGCTGCCTGGCATCTCACCGCCTGCAGGGCCTCACCCACATCGACATCGACACCGCGGTGCAGCGCAAGACAGACCTGTATGTTGAGCTGGCAGGTGGGCCGCGGGTTCGTGCCTGGCTGCCTGGCTGGCCACCGGTCCCCTGCCGCCTGCCCCGCTTCGGCGTCCCCGCTCGCAGCATCACTCAGTTACGCTGAGTCAGGCCTGCCCAATCTGGCTGCAGGCGCCACGCAGGTGGTCGAGTGTGTGATGGAGATTGTCCATGCGGGCAAGGCAAGAGGTGAGGCAGCATCCGCTGCTCTGCACTGATCAGCCGTGCCTCGTTGTGTACTTCAGGAGGCACCCCTGGCGCCCCGCTGATGGGATAAGTGGCGTGCGTGCTTGCCCCGTCCGGCCTGCAGGCCTGCCCATTGCCATCGCCACGGGAGGGAGCAAGCCACAGGTCGCCAAGTCGCTGTCGGCGGTGGGCCTGCTAGAGGGCTTCTTTGATGCCATAGTGACCGCCAACGACATCACGCCCGGCAACGGCAAGCCGCACCCAGAGACCTTCCTGCGGGCGGCGGAACTGATTGGCGTGGATCCCAAGTTCTGCGTGGGGTGGGTGGCCGCTGCCCCAGCCTCCTTGCCTTGCAGCTGCATGTGAGTGGGTGCCTCAGCGGGGTGGACGTCAGGCAGGCAGGCTAGCAGCATTTGGCTGCCAGTGCTCATCATTTGCTGCGTCTGCCTGCCCTCTGCCGCTCAGTTACGAGGATGCCCCGCTGGGCATGGAAGCCATCAAGCGGGCCGGCTTTCTGCTGGCCGTCGATGTCACCCAGATGCCTGGCTGTGAGTGAATGCCTGTGGCTGTGCACGATGCGAGAGGCCCAGGAAGGGCTGGAGGAGCTTGCTACCCCTGGTATCCCACGAAACATGGTGCTTCGCTGTGCTCTGTTGTCTGCTGCAGACCCCAAGCTTGTGTGACTGCCATGTGAAGGCTGGCACCACCGGCGCCAGAACTGGACTCCCCTGCCTACAACCTTCTTGCACTTAAAGCCAATGAATGCACTTGCTCATCCTCCTTCAGATGCTAGAGAATTGACTATTTAATTTGGATTTGTTCACACTCTGGTTCACCTGTAAACGCAGGCAATGAAATGCATGCACGAATCAATCAATGGGGCCAGCGCTCAGAAGAAGCAGAAGCCGCTGTGCCACTCCAGGGCAGCCAGCACGGCCATGGCAATCATGGCGGCGCGCCCATTCGTCTTCTCCGCCGCCACTCGGAAGACGCCAAAGTCTTCCTCCTTGGCGCCCACCAATGCCGGCGGGAAGGCGGCGTAGACAAACAGCAGGCACAGCGCGAGGAAGGGCCAGGAGTGCCAGTCGTGCGGCAGCTGCTGCACCTGCTGAATGACTGCACGGCGGGGGGCGGGGAGCAGTCACGTGCTCAACAGCTGAAGGCTCTGGGATTGGAGCAGCAGGAAGCGCAGCACGACAAGGCGCTCAGCGAGCAATTTTTACCTGTTTGGCCAGTTTCCATTTCTTTACGCACAACATACAGGAATGCCATCATGGCCAGCCTGCCGTTGACCCGCTCTGGAACGGCCCCATTGAATGCCATTGCCTGCCACGCAGAGACCCGATAGCTGCGAGGAGCCTCGGCGGGCGGCGTTGCCGCGGCGGGAGGCGCCGCCGCTTTGGCGGCGCCGCCACGGGTGCCGCTGCTGCTTGCCATGCCGCTGCTGCTGCTGTACGGCGTGCTACCGTTGCTGCTGCTGCTGGGGCCGTCGAAAGAACGCATTCTTGGGGGTGGCTTGCTGGCAGCGGCGCGCACCACCATAGCAGCAGGCGCCTGCCGCGTCTGTCGCCATTGCGATGCGAATGGCCTGCTTTTCAGTCTCAACTCGAGCAAATAGGTGGCTGTGCAGGCTGCAACCATGGCGTTCTGCTCCTGCGGCGAGCTGTGGTGGTGCCGGGGTGAATGAGAGCGTGTGCAAGCAGAATGCAGCAAACGAGAAGCACGACATTGCGCACATGGCATTGGCTCGCTGGCAACCGCCAGGCGGGAGCGGAGCTGGCGACATAGCTCTTCAATTTTGTTCTGGCCTCCAGGGCTCGACATGCAGCGAACGGCGGGCAACCCACTTCGTTACACACTCCAGGGAAGGGTTTCTGGGTGACACTTCGCCATGTCCTTGCCTGCTCACGGCACACCACCTCCAACCGTGGCCCTTACACAAGGCTGAATCCCTTACAAAGATCAGAAGTAATGTACAGAATGCATGTACACAGGGTAGGCGAGGCTCTGCTGCAAGTAATCAGCTGAACTTCTGGATGTCGCCCATCTCAAACACCTTGACCTCCGGCTGCGCACCCGCATGTGCCGCCGCCCCCGCCGCCGCACGGGCGTCCAGCCAGCGCTCCACGTCAGCAATCATCACGTGCGCCACCTGGCTCACCGCCACGCTGCTCATCAGCTTGGAGAAGGCGCGCTCGACGCCGCGGGCCAGCTCGCCTCGGTCCAGCATGCCGGGGCGCATGATGGCGGTGTAGCTCAGCCCCATCGACTTGACAGCCTCCTCGGCCTGCGTGCATGGGGGCGTGCCCAGCAGGTCAATGAGGCAGAGGCGGTAGAGGTGCGACAGATGCAGGCAAGCAGGCAGGCAGGCGGCATGCCCTCCCAGCAGCGCCTGCAGGCCCTCCCTGTGTGGTCTGGCCCTGACAGCGGCAGGCAGGAAGGCAGGCAGGCGTGAGGCCTCCCAGGAGCACCCGCCGCCCTCCCTGCCCCACCTGCCCCTTTGTCTTCATGTACAGCAGCCCGTGCAGCAGCTTGAGGTCGGTAGCCCACACGCTCGGCCGCGCGCCCTGCGATGACACCAGCGCAAAGGTGGGCACCGCCGCAGCCTTGGCGGCCCGCGCCGTCGCCGCCACGTACTCCAGATCGACCTTGCGGAACTGGTCGGCGGTGCCGGCTGCCTGTAGAGGGACAGAGAATATGGAGGCAGCGGTTGGGCCCCGGCAGCGAAACGGGCGCCTGAGGAGCCGAGCACGGCGGGCCAAAGCAGGCCCAGCAATGAGTAGGGTGGGTATGAGCCCCTGCCACATCCTCCCCAGCTACAGCAAATGCGGCCACTGCCACTGCCGGCGGCCGCCGTCCCGTCACCGCCCTCACCGCTCGCGTGGTGCCCAGGCAGCAGAAGACCGAGTCGGCGCCGGCAAACGCCTGCTGGGCCTCTGCCTCCAGGTTGTCCATGTTCACCACCGCCTGCTTCAGCTTGCCCTCATCATATCCCTCCTGACCCTTGTACGCCGCCGGCGGGTCGGCGGCGCGCCGCCCCACCGCCACGACGCTGCCCCACCGTGGGCTCACCAGCAGCTGCCCCACCACCTCCCGCCCTGCGAAGTGTGCAGGGGCAGGAAAAGAGTTGGCGCGCAGCAAGAGGCGGGCGACTGGCGGCGGTGGGGCGGCTGCGCCGGTAGCCCGCCCCAGCAGAGCCACACGCTCGTATTCTGCTGCTCTCACTCACCCACGGCTCCAGTGCCGCCCACCACCACGGCTTTCAGCTTTGTGTTGGACATGCGCGGTGATCGGCCAGCCGTGTTTGCCGAGACCAGCTGTGTTGGTAGGTGACGGGAGTCACCGAGGGGGGTGATCAAGAAGAAGAAGTATTGGGGAAACGAAGCCTCTGGAGGCGACCTCAAGTACCAGTAATTACGACGGAGGCGGCGACGGCGCCGACTCACCGCCCAGCTTCCAAATCACTGGTCCCATGTGGAAGATGCCATCGGGTTCGACTGCTGGAGGTGCCAGACCCGACAGGCTGCCGGCGGGCAGCTCTGGATGTGCCACGGCTGAGTGCGTGCCGCAGCCGCGACCCCGCCGCGCGGCCCCGCCGCGACGCCATCGCGCAGCAGCTGAGGTGCGGGGAGGGCGCTGCGTGTAGCTGCCGCTCGCATGCTCCCTGGCTGCTTGTGTGGACGTGCTTCCTCTAGTGCTGCTTCCCGCGCAATCGTCGCTGCCCTACCCTGTTGCATGCGGCTGGCGGAGGAGGTGCGGCGGAAGCGGGAGGCGGCGCACGTGTGGAGCGGTTCGTGCTGCGGCCAGCGGCGGCTTCTGCTACTGCTAGTGCCAGGCCCACTACTCGTACACCAGCCTGCACCAGCAGCAGGCTACAGCCGCGCCAGCGGCGGTGGTGGAAACTGAAGTACACTCGCCAGCTTCCACTTGGCGTCATTGTTGCATCATCCTGCCAGCTCAAGTTTGGCATGCAAAATGAGGAGGCACTGGCAGAGAATCGAAATTCGGTCTGGCCCCTGGGCTATGCTACCACTATACCACTAGTGCGCAGCCACCCATCGGTTCAGGCCAGCGTGTGCACCGCAGCCGACACGGCGGCCTGCTGCGCTGCTGCCATCGAGCCCAGGCCCGGCTGCACTGACCGGCTCTCGGCGTCGGCGGCCCTCAGGGCCGCCGCATCTCCCGCCATCATCAGCCGCACCACAGACTGGTACAAGGCACGCAGCTGGAGGCGTGCAAGGTGAGGGCGGGCGGAGGTGCCGGCGGGGGAACTGTCAGCAACAGCAAGAGATTCCGACTCAAACACGGCAAGGGAGGTGCAACTTCACAAGCACAGGCGCGGGACACCCACCGTAGGGGCCATGCCTAGCGCCACAGCCGTGAAGGGCAGCAGCGAGGCGGCATCGCGCGGCGGTATCGCCACGCCTCCCTCACCATCCGCCAGGCCGCCGCCGCCTGGAGGCTGCTGCCGCATGCCCTGCGCGGCCAGCTCCTGGCCGGAGGCCGCAGCCAGCTGGCGAAGCAGCACGTCCAGCGCGGGCAGCGTGCGCAGCGCGGCCGCCAGCGGCAGCCGCCCTGACAGCACCGCGCACAGCGCACGCAGGCACTCTGCCGCCTGCTCCCCGACCGCCACCACCAGGCGGCGGGAGGCTGGGGGCAGGGTGGAGCGCTGGCCGCGGGCATCCCGCATCTCACGGCCATACGTGATCAGCAGCAGGGCGTCGCAGCAGTGCAGCAGGTGTTCTTTGGTAGCCAGCGCCGCCGCGTGGCGCCGCCCTTCGGCCGCCAAGGCAGGCAGCGGGGCCTCGTGAGAGTACGTGCTGATGGCGGCGAGCGCCAGCGCAGTTGCCTGGACCTGCATGGGCAGGGGCAGGGGCGCGGCAGCAACCAATCTGTTCCTGGAAATAAATGAATCGCTCAGGCAGCCAAGTAGGCTACGAGACGCCCGCAACGAGTAAGCTAACCGAGGCAGCGACGGAAGCAAAGAAACCCGCAGGGGAGATGGACAGCAGGCAGAGAGGTGGTGGGCAGCCCGGCGCCGGCTCCCACCCCACACCTGCTGGGCTCGCGCTTGAAGCTGCGCCAGGCTCTCCACCGCCCTGCCGCGCCCCTGCTGCCACGCTGCTGGGCCCCGCAGCTGCCGCCTGCCCTCCTCAGCCCCCTTAGCCGCTTCCGCCGCTGCTGCAGCGGCCGCATCGCAGTCTGGCCGCGCACCAGCTGGCGCCACGCAAGCCCCGCCTTGCCCCTCCTGCCCCACTTCCAGCTCCTCGCCGCCCTGCGCCTCGCACGCCGCCACGCCTTCCGTCAGCGCCGCCAGCCCGCCGAGCGCCGCCTGCGCCTTGTCGCGCAGCAGGGTGGTGGTGGTGACGGGGAAGAGCAGGGAGGTGACCAGCAGCTCCAGGCAGATGCCGATGCACACGCAAGTGATCCTGCGGGCGGTAGCAGGCGGCAGGGAGCGGAGCGGCAGCAGCGGCAAAGTATTTGGGTAGAGTGAGCGCTCGGGGCCCTGGCGCGTGGCTGCCCTGCACAGAGCCAAGCCGCACCGGCATGCTGCGCGCCGCCTCACCGCCACTTGGCCGGGTCCCACGGCTCCAGGCTCTTGAAGCTTTCCACCAGGACAATGGACACGGTGATCTGTGAGGACAGGAGGCAAGCAGGCAGGGAGGAGGGGGCATGATCCAGAGCCAGGCCGCAGGCGGAGCTGGGCCCTCTGCCGACAGCCGGCAGCGCAGGCAGCCCCTATGAGAGAGGAGGAAAGCTCACGTCCATGACAGTCCACGCGTAGCTGATGCGCCTGAAGCGGCCCTGGTTGAGCCCCACAAAGCCGCCCCAGAGCGATACGAGCACTGCCAGGGTGGTGTACCTGGGCGCAACACAGCATGGCACAGCACGAAAAAAGGTTGTCACTGCGCGCAGCCAGCACCACGTGCAGTGCTGGCGTGCTGTAGGAGCCGTAGCGGCATCACATCACACGCATCCCAGACGCCGCTCTCACTTGGCGACGGAGTTGTTGAAGGAGCCGCCATTGATTCCATACGCCACCCCCAGGCACAGCATCGACCACGCAATGCCGGCGCAGGTGCCCAGCAGCCGATTGGCTGCCCGCACCCGGGAGCGCCCCGCACTCCGCTCCGACGCCGCAATCACTGCGGGCGGCGCTAGGCGTGGCGGCGGAAGGGGGGGGGGGGAGCGGCGGTCAAGAGCGTGCCTGGAAGCTGCGGGGCCATGCGGCATGCAGCCTGCCGATGGTGGGTGTGCAGCTGCCCGGCCTGACCAAGATAGGCACGGATGGCGCCAGCAGGATGGGGAGAACGCACGGGGTGCAATACCTGTAATGACCACCCAGTCGCTGCTCCCTCCAAGCGCCTCGTACACGGGTTTCACTACCAACAGCGTCCCCGCCACCCCAATCAGCACCAGCATGTGCAGCCCCGGCAGCAGCTGCAGCCGGCCCAGGCCGGCACGGTCGGCCGCGCGCCGCAGCATGCCGCGTGGGCTGGCACTGGCATCCAGCGCCGCTGTGGGGCGGTAGACTGCCAGCTCAGCTCCGTCCGGCGCTGTTGCATCTGCTGCAGTGTGCGCTGCTTCGGCAGTTTCTCTGTAGCCATCGTCTGCCACGCCAGTACCAGTGTTTCCTGCACTCTTGCTCGAGCTGTGGCGTCCCAGGCCATCACAGCCACCATCTGGCGCCCCCACCGATGCTGCCCCCGCCAGCATCTGGGCTTGCTCCAGGGCTGTGTCGGCCTCCTCAACGCTGCTGCCTGCCCTGCCCGGCACCGGGCGCCAGGCAGATGCCTCAAAGTGAGCCGCCACCGCGGCCTGCGCCCCCGGCTGCAACGACTCCACCGCCGCCGCCACCTCGGGGAACATAGCTCGCACTTTGGCGGCCGCGGTGCCCAGAAGGCCTCGCATGATCATGAAGATGGCGGCGGCCCGCTTGGTGTGCTTGGGGCCACCCACCACCGACCCAAGCTCCCGATACCTGCGCCCGCATCCAGGGCAGACTTGGGAGGTGAGGGGCATGCATCGCACATGCAAGGAGCGAGGCGGACCACCCTCCCAAGCAATATACATGTTTGTGTAAGCAACAGGCATTGTGTGAGCAATAGGCGTTTCAGGCAGGCAGAAGGCAGAGGCGGCTGCCCACCTGCTTTCCAGCTCCTCCAGCTGCACCAGCGCTTTGGTCAGCGGCAGCTTCTGCATGACTACCGCCGCGAGTGCGGCGCAGCAGGCCTGAAGAGCGGCAGCCATCCCCAGTAGTTGTGGCGCCAGCTGCCGGCAAACGGCCAGGTGTTTGGCGGGCACAGCGGGCGCGGCCATTGCGTCTGTTTGCAAATCAGTACCACTGCGGCTGTCTGCATTCAACGGCGGGCCATGTGGGCAGGCTGCCGCTGCCTCGCCGGGTGGGGCAGGCGGGCTGCGCACCCAGCGCAGCATCTGCCCCAGCGCGGCGTCTGCCGCCGCCGTCAGGCCCCTGGCACGCTTGAAGGCCTGGACAGGGAGCCCAGCAGGCACAGCAACCACGCCAGGGAGCCACCTCAAGCAAGTTCAGCGCTGCGCAACGCGCGCCGGCTCACCACGCTGCCCACTGGCCAGCTGACCAGGCAAGGTCGTTGGCATGCTGCCCACCTGGATTGGCAGCACGCGCTGCTTGCCATACAGGTCCAGGTCCATGTGGGAAACGAGCAGCAGCATGCCCAGGTTGCCCACGTCTGCAGGGTACGCAAGCGGCAGCGGCAGCAGGCACCAGCTGGGCACATGCCGGGCACATCGGTTGGCAGCGCACAGGCAGGACGAGCGACCGGCAGAAGCTAGCGCAGCCTGGCAGGCAAGCAGCTGCCAGCCGGCCTCTCCCTACCTTGCCGTATGGCTTCATCCAGCTTCTGCAGCTCTGCTGCATCTGCCTGCATCCCATGTGGCCCGCCTGCCTGACCCCGCAAGGCTGCAAGCGGCTGCATCTCGCCCTCTGGCCGATGCTGCTGCGTCTGATTGCATGGGACCTGCTGCCCATCCGCTGGCTGCCCCTCCCCCTGCTGCTCGCCATCCCGCCGCTCTTGCCACGCCGGCTGCTGCTCCTGCTCTTCAGGTTCCGGTTGCTTCCCATCCACGGCGACAGCGACGGCTGGTTGCTGCACCAGCAGCTCTGTGATGCCCAAGCTCAGCTTGCCCAGGTTGCCCAACAGCCTGCAAAAGCAGCCCTTTGCCTGCACGCAGCAGCAGGCAGCAGCAGGCCCAGCGCTCAGGGCTGTCGGTGTTGAGCGCATACACAGCAGGCTCCACA